CCGCGATGCTGCTCATCTCGGCCGTCGTCGGCATCTACCATGCCTTCGCGGCGGGCGGCCAGCAGACCCCCAAGGACTTCCTGATGGGCGGCCGCAGGATGACCGCCGTGCCGGTGGCGCTGTCCCTCGCCGCCAGCTTCATGTCGGCGGTCACCGTCCTGGGCTCCCCGTCTGAGGTCTACCGTTTTGGGGCCATATTCAGCATCTTTGCCATCACCTTCTTCCTTGTGGTGGTCATCAGCGCGGAGGTCTTCCTTCCGGTGTTCTACAAACTGGGAGTTACCAGCACCTACGAGGTAAAGTGTGAAGGGGGTCTGGGGAGAGGCGGCGAGAGGTTGGTGGACTTTTCAGGCTCCTGGAGGGATTTTCCTGGGGGCAGACTCACCACCACATCGAGGTCTCTCCCTGTCCGAGCCCATCATCTCTCTCGCCCTCCTCTTTTAGGGAGAGATGTCCTATAAAGGTTGGAAAAAACCTAGGACTTCCTCTCATGAGCTCAGTGAAAAAGAGAGGTTCCCAAAGTAAACTGAGTTATTTGAACAAGTGCTCGCTAAGGCTCTTTCAGCTTTAACATCTTTGATTCCAAGTCAAGGGGAAATATTTTTTAAACTTACTATCTTGGGGGCAGATATGTCATTCAACTCTCAGCTCTTTCTTGAAATGAATCCTCTCTTCATCAGGCTCCACTCACTTTTCCAAGATAGTGGAGAAGCCTGTGTTCTCTTCCCACCCTTCCCTCTCTGTGCATACCTTCCACAGAGAGGCAGACACCTGAATTTAGCTGCTGTTATCTCTTGTCCCAGTGTCTGAGACCAGATTCTACACTTAACTAGCTGGATAACCTGGGATGACTTACTTAACCTTTTGTGCCTATTTCTTCATCTCAAAATGGAAATACCACCACCTACCTCATCCAGTTGTTGGGAAGATTAAATGAGATGCAAATGTAGCAGTTAGAATGGTGTTTGGCACAGGGTAAGTGCTGAATAAGTGTTGGCAGTAAGTATTTGGGTAGTGATGATAGAGGTGGTTACCTTGGGATCACTGGGGAAATTTGGCTACAAGGTTCTTAAACAGCTCTTCCTTCTCTCCTTTCTCTTAGGAAGATGGTTGAGGAAAACCGTCTTTCCAGTTGCAGGTCTACTGGTTACTGGTTTTCTCAAGTTGTCTGCCGAAAAGGGTTTTGTAAAGATAGTGCAAATGTTTGGTTTAGTTTAAAGAGCTATTGAATGGGAGTGTCAGGGGAGGATAAAAGCTCAGGGGAGTGGTCTGGCCCAGTTCCATGAGCTCCAGGGACAAATCTGCAAAGTTTTCCCTCTAATAAGCCATTATCCAGAGGGCTCAGAGCCTCATTCTCAGCAGCCAGCTTTGTCCTTGAAATTATGTAGTATTTGCCCCAACCCAGAGGCACTGGAAGGTGGTTTCTTAGTGAGGCTGGTTCAACTGGTGCTGGGGACGGAGCCCCAGTGGCACAAGTGTTGGTGACAAATTGCCTGGGCTTTAGTGATGTCTTGCAGGGTGAGGTGGCCCTTGGGCAGCATTGCCTTCTTTGCACTCTGGTCACTGTGTTTGGGAAAGTTTAGTCATTACCCCAGAAGTGAGCAGGATGGAATTTCTGTGTTTTGCTCAAAGGTTCCATATTGACTGCCCTAAACTAAACACAGTCTTAGGTCCTTTTTTTTTTTAACCCTTATAGTGTTCTGAAAAAAGTTTATTTAGCATTTAGTAATGATGGGAAGTCAAGTAAAATTCCAGATTCTGGCTTCTTTTGAAACTTAGAAGATTGGTGACACTGGGCTCATAGTCCCTGCGGCCATAAGAACCCCAGTTTATAGCCATTGCTCTCACTCCCTCTTAATTTCTGTGTTGAGGCCTCCTCATTGTATCTGCGTGGTTGCTTTCTGATGGTAGACAGATCTATCTGCATTCAGCTTTTTATCAAAAATTCAGAAGGGAAAATGGACAGGGGAGAAGGAAGTTCCTGCTTTGAGGGTGATGTGAGAGAACATACTTCTTAGTGGACATGAGAAATATTTCAGCCCATTAATAAATGAACACCTGGTCCATCCACTTGTGTATTTTACCAGATGAGATCTGTAGGCATTTGAGTCTGTGAGCTCTGATCTGCAGTTAACCAACTCCAAAACCCAGAAACCGTTTGAAGACCCTGGCAAGAGGACTTCAGTCTCCATAGATGAATGCTTCACACATAATCACTGACCCATACCTCTTTGGGGCAGCAACATTAACTCAGCCAGAAACTGATTTTCCACACGTTTCCAGTGGTGGAGGCTAAGTTAGCAGGGTTCCAGCTAAAAATGGCAAAAGGCTAATGTTTACTGAATGCTTAATACAGGCTGGGCCCTGGGCTGCCTGTTTTACATGCATTATCTGGCTCAATACTCAAAATCACCCTGATAAAGGAGATACTGTGAGAGCCCCATTTTGCAGACAAAGAGATTTGGATTAAGAAGCTAAGCTACACAAGAGAGTGTGAAGCAAAGTGAACACGTGCCTGAGGCTGTGCAGTGGTGCATACTGACTGCTTCTGAAGGCTCTGGGGAATTATAACCCAAGCAGAGCTTAGAACACATGCAGGACATGTGGAGTGGTGGGCACACTGGAGTTGTCTATGACTAGTGGATGCCAGGCAACTGGGGACAGAGAAATTAGGTAACATGCCATGCCCCTGATGGTGGGTCATGGAAAACACTTTCTTGAGGAATTTTTTGTTTGTTTTATCCTGAGAGGTAGAACCAACTCTACAGAGTAAGAATCCCAGCACTGAGGTACCCTGGTCTACTTACTCACGTATGGAATCTCTCCCTAGTTATAGTTTGTTAGCTACAATTAGCTGTTCAGAAGCATTTTTGATATCTATTTATTACCATTATTGCCTTCAAGGTATAGTCCTGATGGGTGTTTAGAAACGCCCATGCCCACAGATAAGAAATATCACACAGGAATCCAATTTCATTCACAGCTTCTTTCTTGAGGATCTTTCTGTATCCAGCAAAATCTATGTGTTTGAACTAAGTTGCCCAGACTCTTCTTTTTTTTTTTTTTTAAATTCAATAGAAGTCTTAGCATTCCTAAGTTATTCAAAGCACTGAGGACTATGAGAGATCTTGTCTGACTATAGGTGTTACCGGATCCAAACCTTGTCCTGCTCACCTGTGGGCAGTAAAATCAATCTACTGACACCGGGTTGTGGTGAAGGAAAGTGCAGCATTTGTTGTAAAGGTGCCAGACAAGGAGTCGGGGGAAGATGATGCTCAAAAAACCTGAACTCCCCAATGGATTTTAGCGGAGCGTTTTTAAAGGCAGTTTGAGGGATAAGAGGGTCACAGGATATGTGATCAGCTTGTGCATCATTCTGGGATTGGTTGATGATGAGGAAACAGGACAGTGTCACAGGGGTTAACATTATCCATCCTCAGGCTCCAGTAGGTCTGGGGCCACCTGCTTATGGTCATCAGGTATCTAACTTCTTCCATTTGGTGGGAGTTTTAGCATCTTGAAAACAACTCGGGAAATGAGTATCAGATACTGTTATCAAGGTACTTTGGGAGGAACCAGAGGCTCTGTGACTGCCATATGTCTGATTTACTGTTTAAATTGTTACCAGTTTTCCTGGCCCAACTGCTACATTTGTCTCTACAAGGTCACATCCTTTCAATCATTAATTTTTGAGCCAAGCTTTTGTGACTCAGGGAAGGCCTGGGGGATGACAGCTTTTCTACGAACAAGAGGCAGACAGAGGACTTGGGGGCAGGGATCTGTCCCGGGAAAGTCCATTGGGTCCTGCTCAGTTACATGGGCACCTACTGTTATACTGTAGTTTTGTCTAGAAATCCTAGAGCTTTTCTCTGAGCTTATTGATCAGTGACTTAGTCTTTAGATATTGCTTAGCAGCCCAGTGATGTGGACAAAGAATGTCCCTGCCATTTCAGTAAACAAAGAATGTTGTAGCCAGAAAATTATCAGCCACTGCAGCCACCCCCCATGGTGCGCCCTCAGAGGAATTTAGGAAGGAGAAAAGCAGGGTACTGACGCTAGGTAGTTAAGATGTTTATGAAAGGAATGATTTCAATAAGCCCAGAGTCTTGCATCTTCCCATGCATAGAAAAGCGTTAAAACCACTAACTTGGGACCTGTTTTTTGTGATTAGCAGTAATCTTTTGATGTTCAACTACATGTATGTGTTTGTTTCCAGCAAATACTGCTATATATCCTGGCTCCTCTCTTACCTCTTTGGAACAGTCCCACAGAGCTGTCCCAGAGCCTGCCATCCTGGGCCGTAGTCCTCAGTTAGGCTTTGCCATAAAACATAAGTCTCACTTATGTTGTGCACTTTTTTCAGTCAACATTGAGATGTGATAAAACTTCTTGGTTCTGTCTTGAGTTAGCCTTATGTGAGGAGGGA